TATCGAACAAGAAACTGCGCTGCAGTTTCTGGTCTCGAACAAGAAACTGCACTGCAGTTTCTGGTCAAAATCTGCACTGCTGCTCAAAAGGTAAAGGCATAATCAAAGTACTAAAACTAATATCAAATCACATTTAAGTAGGTCAGCAGTTGTAACATTCCAATATACTTGCAAAAATTATTCTGAAATTGAATTATCGAACAAGAAACTGCACTGCAGTTTCTGGTCTCGAACAAGAAACTGCAGACAGATGTAGTTTATGACAGAAAATCAAAACAATTCGAATAGAAACCAAAAGGAAACCACGATAAAAGTACTAAAACTAAATTCCATAAACATACAAGTCGACATAATCGAAAACAGGTTCTAAAGTACTCATACCTCAAAACTTAGGACTGCCAAAAATCTCCACAACCAAACAGCAGCTTAAAATCAAATCTGATCACGAAACGAAGAATATAGGGTTTAGCATTGAACGCCACAAGATCGCGCCGCAAAATCGAGCCACAAAACTGAGCTCGAAATACCCGAACTAAAGAGAACAGAAATCACCCAAAACTGACAGTCATTCAGCATGAAAATCGAACGAAAACGTAGCAGAAAAAAGAAGACAGAAAAACGAAGAAAATAAAAGCAAAACCTACCAGAAAATTGAGCTCCAATGGAAAAACCCAGCTCTGAAACGAAGAAGAAAACGAACGAAAGAGAAGAACTCGAGCGTCGTTTAAACGTTGAGAGGCAAAAGCGTCATTCAATTTGTAGGTTTACAGATGGGCCAGGCTTTTTAAGAGAAAATGGTAGAATTGTCTTTTTATTTGACATTTTTAAGCTGGCCCAACGAATCTGGGCCAGCCTTGGGCCTAATCTAAAATAGCCATTTTTTATTAAGTATTAAAACCCAAACTAAAATACCTAATATCTCACTTCCTAATTAGTAAACTTAATTATGTCTAATACCTAATTTTCCTAAAAAGTTAAGGCTATTATGACCTGATAAAATCTCCTGGTCATGGGACATTTAGTTATTTTACAACAGCTTTATGAAGTGGACTGGGTCAAGATCAGATGTTTTATTAGACTATATTCGGGGACAGATTGGGAATCTATAATGGGCTAGTATTCGACAATAAAAAGACTCAAT